TTCCCTCCAACGAGGGAGGTGCCTCAGCAAAACTGTGTGGGCCAACCTACAGGCAGCCTCTTTCTTTCTAGCGGGGAGTGGTGGGCTTTGCCTTAACGATGCAAGCTGGTTTTTGCTGGGGGGGGGGAGATCACAAATTGCGTCCAATTACCTGTGAATGCCTTCGGCTTCCCGCATGTGACTTTCCCCCTTCCTTATTGATGGAGTGGGTGGGTAAACCGTGGGAGGAAAATAGAGAAGCAGAGGAGGAGGAGGAGAGATTGGGAATCCAGGAAAATGACAAGCATTGGGAGCAAGAGTGAGTGGGAGAAAGAATGTAGCAAACTCCTGTTAGACTTGGATTGGGGAGTGATTATTAATGAGATGTGGTGAGGTCCCTGAATACATTCTGAAATTAAAAGAAACCGAAAAAGGGGGGAAAGGGTGGGGAGAGGAGCAGCAGTATGCGGGACAGAAATCGCCTCCTTCCCCAAGCCGCTGCCTTCTTCTGCTGAGAGGGTTCCTGTGGGCTTGGTGTGGGCGTCCCTGTTCTTTGTCACCTTTTGAGCCTGTGGCTGCAACACGGCACAAAGCCACGAGCTGTTCCGGGAGAGTCTGGGGGTGGGAGGCCAAGGCAAGGCAAGGCATTGACCGCTTAGTGAGGCAAGGCATGGCAGGGCGTCCTTCACTCCCGTCAGCATGATTCACTTGCATTGAAACAGCACGTAAAGAGGTTTCCTCTCCAAAAGTACTGTTGGCAGCCAGGAGGAGGAAGAGGGGTGCTCTGTGTGTGCATGTATGCGTGTGTGCATGTTGAGGGGGCAAAGCTTGACAGTCTTGCCCTCCTGGGGGCTAGCAGTACAAAAGTGTCATGGAAATGAATGGCAACCCTGGCAGAAGTGAAGCCGGATGCCGCTTGCAAAGCTTAGAAGGCTCAGTGGGAGTAGGAGAAAATTGAAGGGGTTGTGGAGGGTGGGGGGAGGGGAGGGGAGAGAGAGTGCGAGAGAAGAGGCTCAGCGTTTAATGTCAGCCAGTAGGTATAGGGTGGGAGGGAGAAAAGGAAAGAGCGGGTATGTGCCCACCCACGCCACTTGCCAAGCAGGGTTGAAAAGAGAGAGTGGGGGATTTCTTTCTCTCCCTGAAGATCAAAGGAACAGAAGCAATGCAATCTGGTGTTCGTGTAGGAGCAGTGTTGGTGGGCGAGAGAAGAGGCTCAGCGTTTAATGTCAGCCAGTAGGTATAGGGTGGGAGGGAGAAAAGGAAAGAGCGGGTATGTGCCCACCCACGCCACTTGCCAAGCAGGGTTGAAAAGAGAGAGTGGGGGATTTCTTTCTCTCCCTGAAGATCAAAGGAACAGAAGCAATGCAATCTGGTGTTCGTGTAGGAGCAGTGTTGGTGGAGAGGAAGAAAGCGCCTGTGGGACTGGGAACATCTGTTCTAAGAAATCGCTTCAAGAACAGTTGGAAGGAAGCACTCTCGTGCACGCCCATGTGTTTTCATAGAGAAGACCACAGGCAGCAGTGAAGAGGAAGGACAGCTTGGGTAGCAGGAGCAGTCCTCCACCATTTCTGTTTTGGTGCATACATTTTTTATTTTGATAAGCTTCACAGGAAAAAGTTGGCATGAAATGATGTTCCTTCCTTCCTTCCTTCCTTCCTACCTACCTACCTACCTACCTACCTACCTAATGAAAGCATGTTATCTAGTTCTTGCTTGTAGGTGGGCCTGCAGTATTTATATTTCTGGATGATACAAGTGCTTGCTTCATGGTCATTAAAAGACACAGAAAGAAAGAACATAAAGCCAAGGTGGTAATTATGAGGCCTTTCCATTGTGACTTGTTGAACTGTAACAGTTTGCATTTGCTTCTTTTACGCCACAAGTAGCTGCCACTTGATCATGTAGTAAAGCTATGGCAACATTGACAAGCAAGGCAATGAAGATGGACAACCGACTCAGTGATGGGCAGACTTTTTCTGTGCATTCTATATTCAACAACTGTTCAGATACAGTTGTGGGATTTTAAGGCTTCGAAAAATCTCTTTGTAGCTTCTTTGTCTTACATATCTTCTCTTTCTTTTGTCTTTATTAGGAAAACTGGATAATGGGCTTTTTAAAAAAATCTAAGTTGGGTTTGAGGTAATTTAGCATCAGATTAGAAACCTGCAGCCAAGGAACTGAGTAGTTACTTTAGACCATGGTGCATAACGGGTGTGTGTGGGGGGATCAGCCATTCTGTCAGTGCTGGCTACTGTAGGGTTTCTGGATCACAGTGCTGGAGTTTGCAGCACAGTTTAGTGGCAGTACATCCTAAAATTCCTGTTCAGTCTCAAAGCAAGTGGGTCAGCATTTAGGTCTAGCCATTTTCTTCCTTTTTCTTCTTATTGCCAGTCCTCTTGCTTTTTGGTCTGCAGGACACGGCCTCTGCTGTATGGAGGGCTACACACGAACCCCTTGTCTATGTCCCCTCCTTTCTTCTGTTCTGTCCCTTTCACGATTTTTCTCTTCAAGTCTCTTCCCAATACCCTGTACCCTGCTTAAGCCTACCCCCTCTGTTTAGCATCTTTCTGGGCCTGTCTCGATCCTTCCCTCTTCACATAAAGTACTGTAATAACTCCCTCATCTGAAGGAGACATGAGGTTACTTCTGTACTTCTTCTCCTTAATTTATCCGACTGGCTGTTTCTGTCGTCTCTCTCCAAACACCTCCTCCTCCTCCTCCTGATTTCCCATTAGGTTCTCAGTATGTTACCTAGTCTGCATTCCTCCTTCAAGTTACGTTGCCCCCTTTCTCTGTGTCCCTTAGACTCTCTCTCTCTCTGTTTAGGCTACTTTGTAGAGCTGTACCTTTCCCTAAAGATTTTAATCTCATCCAAATTGACTTCTTTCCCTTTTCTCCCAAAAGGCAGAGTGCACATAATCCCACAGCTTTACTCCAGCCTGGGAACGTTCTGTATCTTAATACCAGCTCTGTCAATTAGCATCCAGAGCTTTGCCGCCACAGCCATATTCTTGCTTGGACAGTCTGGGTGATGTAGTCAGTACAGCTGCACTTGAGACTCATATTTGAATTTAATTGGAAGAGAGATAAAGAGGCCATGATGTGGTTGCATGACAGCTTGTTGCTGCAAAGACCTGTTTTTGGGTGCAGAAGCTTACATTGGTTTTCTGAAGATTGGTTTCCCAACAGAGGAAAGCTCTCTGGACTCATGTGTATCCAGCAACTCTATAGTGATAATTCTGAATGTTTCTTCGTGTTATCTGTTGTTGTTGTTTTCTAAATCTTCCTTTTTCTAGCTTTCTTGGTGTTTTCCTAAGTGTTGTTATCCTCTCTTTCTTTTGTGTTCTGTAGCAGTGGCTTTCAATTTTCCCCAGGGTGGATTTGATTTAAATTGAATCATTTATTTCCTTCAATGAAAGGCAGATGTTGCCATAAAGTCATTTAAACCAGTGGTTCTTAACCTTTGTTACTCAGGTGTTTTTGAACTGCAACTCCCAGAAACCACAGCCAGCAGAGCTGATGGTGAAGGCTTCTGGGAGTTGCAGTCCAAAAACATCTGAGTAACAAAGGTTAAGAACCAGTGATTTAAACCAAGATTTAATTTTTTTATTGATTTTTTTAGAATTTAAATTTTAAAAAATCAGTTTTTAATTAATTTTTTATTGATTTTTTTACAATTTAAATTAAAAAATCAGTTTTTAAAATTCAAATCATGATTTAAATCAATTTGATTTTTTAAAAAAAATCACTGATTTTTATCCACCCTTGATCTTAATTCTTCCAGATGACTGAAAGTCAGGTTTCAGAACTTGCAGCCAGGTTGGCCAAAGACCCAAACATCTGGGGGACCCAAACATCTGAAGAACCGCTGTTCTTTAGCACATTTTACCTGTATAACTTTTGTATGCCACCCTGTCTCCCAAGGAAATCAAGGCATCACACAGAGGGCTTATCCAACTTCACTTTTGCGACAATTGTGTGACATTGCTGAATGGGCTGTTGAATTATCACCATACCCTATGGGCTCAGTTCTTTGTGTGTGTGTGTGTGTGTGTGTGTGTGTGTGTGTGTGTGTGTGTGAGAGAGAGAGAGAGAGAGAGAGAGAGAGAGAGAGAGAGATCCTGTTCTCTGTGTTAGGCCCTCTGGCAGTGAGCATATTTGAACCGAGCCTTTTAAAACTCTGACTGCGGAGATACGGATTTTATAGGAAAGTGTACTATTATTACTATTATTCATGTGTTGCAAATGTGGGTATTTTGTATGTGTGTGCAAAAGAGAGAACAAGAGCTACACTGACCAAGTGCAATTGTTTCTGTACAGCTTGCTTTCCAAGACAGCTGCAACACCACATTTTGGAACACAAAATGGCTCTGTAGCAGTGTTTGCCTTTCAATGGGGGGAAAAATGATTCATGGCCTCCATTCTGTTATGTCTTTTGACCAGAATGAGTGCACAGCAGCCCTTTTACATAACTGTGTAGTGATGAAGGTCTGTATGCAATAAGTATTTCTCCACATCCCTGGAGTTGTAACTTTCACAAGACAAAATGTATGAAATTTACTTTTTTCAAAAGGATTGTTGCTGGAACAGTCTCCACTGGCAACATTTTGTGTCTACAAAAGATCCTGTTTTTACCTTGGTTTCATGTGCCATCAAGTCGTTTCTCATTTTTGTCATGTCATGAATTATGACCTCCAAATCGCCCTGTCATTAACAACCCTGCTCGGTTCTTTCAGACGAAAGGCTGTTGCTTCTTTTATTAGAGTCGATCCATCTCATGTTAAATTTCCTTCTTCAGTGATTCCTAGCATTGCCTTTTCCAGTGAAGCTCATTTTCTTATGATCTGTTCAAAGTACTCTTGCACCGCCACTCCTTCCTTACATGTAATGAAGACCTATTTCCACCTTCCTTCCTATTATTATGGTGATTAATAAAAAGAATATTATCAAGTTTATGCATTTTCCCCAAAAAATATCCTGAGACAGTAATCATTCACTTTCTCCCTCTTGCATATTCACAGGATGGCTTTCCTGATTTCCAGGATGCAGTCCAGAATTTCTATCAGCAGGATTCTGTCAAAATTCAGCAAGCATTGTCAAAAGGAAAGTGTGAAGACCTGGCAGCACTTGGTTCACAGGTAAATTGACGACAAGCCACAATAGTCTATTTTTTTCCTATTGGGATTTGTTCCAGAAAAAACAACACTACCACAGTGCTTTCTTTATGGGACAGTCTGTCATGATCTTCCAATTTCAAAGGTTCTGGTGACCTGGCTGTGATGGTCGCTGCTTTAATGTCAGTGTGTGACTCAAGGAATAATTATTTTAGACAACAGTAGCAAAACCAGCTACAGCTTTCCTTTTGTTATTAGTAGTCAAGTGGAGATTTTATCTGTTTGTGTGTGTGTGTGTGTGTGTGTGTGTGTCTGTGTGTGTGTGAGAGAGATTTTAACTGTGTGTGTGAGATCGTGATGGGGGTTGGGAGGATCTGGTCTAAACCAGGACAACCTTTGTATCTCACCTCATGCTGCATTGCATTTGGACGGTAGGGAGTCACTTACAAGAGCAGACATGCTGACCCTTCTTTGTTTATCATATACTGTAAAAGAGCAGACATGCTGACCCTTCTTTGTTTGTTTGTTTATTCTTTAAAACAAATCTAGATGTTCTTTTAAACACTGGTCAAACCCAGTTTGGCAGCATGTTTGAGCCTAAGTTAAATGATGAGTATGAATGCCTTTGCTATACTACTTATTTCAATTTGCAAGTAAATGCCACATTTAAATATTGGTTTCACGAAATCATTTTCATGCAGTTGAGGAAGTGGGCTGCAGTCCATGAACGCTTGTGACAAATGAAACATATTTATTTCTAAATACCACAAGACTTCACTATTTTCAGTAGAGTGGAAGGGAAAAAAATTGGACTTCATTTTGGAGTGGTTTGTAGCATCTATTCTCATCCATCTATGTGTCTGTCTGTCTATCTATCTAAAATGTCTAATCAGCCTTTAAAAACTTACCCAGATTTGGACTTCATATTGGAGTGGTTTGTAACATCTATTTTCATCCATCTACGTGTCTGTCTGTCTGTCTGTCTGTCTGTCTATCTATCTAAAATCTCTAATCAGCCTTTAAAAACTTACCCAGATTTGTGCCACCTTCTCTGCCTTCTTTAATGACATGAACTGAACAGAAGTCTAGAATTCCTCTGGCTACCTTTAACATGATAAATATTCCATTGGCATTTGGGTGAGGGTGATAAAGTATGCCCTTCCTAAAGTATGGGAAAAATATATTTCAAGAAAAAGAAGTAAAAAGGACGGTGCTTGTCTATATGGGTGCTCGACACGATGCACCCTTCTGTCTGGCCTGCAAACCACCCCAAGCCTTCCTTCTCTGCAACTAGTGACAGACGCAGGCTGTCTGGGGTCTAAACAAATACGAAGCTGGAGAAGCAAGCATGGTTTTCCCTCCAGTTCCATTGGGCATGGAGGTTCTCTGTACCTACTACAACGGAAGGGAACCCATCTCTCCTCTTTCTGGTGCCAGGCTTCAGCGTGGGTGTAGGAGAACAGGAGGATGGGTGTCTCTCACTTTCCATGGAGAAGTCCTGGTGCAAAGTCAGGAACTCAAAGACGAATTCTGTAGCTGCCTTCTCAGAAGCAAACAGAGGACCTTACTCCCAGTTAAGTGTACATATGATGGCAGCCAAAGAATGCAGCCTTCAGTGCCTTTACTTTTAGAATTAGCCCTGATGAACATAGCAGGGCTTACTGCTCAGTGGATTTTCCTATGCTTGTGTTATGGGAAGAGTCCGGAGGACCATGAATAGGGGTAATCAAACTTTTTGGAACTCTAGAAATGAGTCTCCAGCAGCTCTTGTGTTCTCTTGAGTCCTGAACTGTCAGTGTAACAGGAGTGGACCATCCTTTATAACCAGTTCTGACTTATACATACAAAGCCATCTTTTACTGCTTCGGGTGACCCATCTGGCTCAATATTCAGTATTTGTTTTGATTGGCAAACACCCATCCAAAGTCTTAGGCAGAAACCTTCTAGCACCTTCCTACCTCAAAATCTTTCTGCTCATTGACTTCTAACAAATTATGGTGCTTGTGCAAGCATTGTCATTGGGCTGCTGGTGGTGGTGTCAGTGTTTTTCATGGCAGTCGTTGCTTTTACAATGGCAGTGCCCATGCAAGCCTCACAGTGTGGTGTCACTGCACTGATGAAACTCTCCTGCTCAGTGGAAGTTCAATAGGATCCTGGTTAGGACGTTTAGTTCCAGCACACAGGCTGGGCTTAGGAGGCAATGTGTGGGTCCAGCACTAGTTCTCAAGTTACTAAACTGTGGTTTATTAGACTAAGACTTTTCCAGCTGATCCAGTCTGTGAAGTTGACCTCATTACACAAAGAACATGGAATCTAGCTGCCACTAACTGACCTAGGGTTCTTCCTCAGGAGTCAGAAAAGTAGCCTTTTTTGGGGGAGGGGGGAGAACAACAGCTCCTGGAATTCCCCAATCACCATGACCAGTGAGCATGCTAGCTAGGGGATTCTGGGAGCTGTAATACCAAACAGTAATTTTTCTGAGCTTTGCTACCATTTGTGATGCTTTGTTTTTAAATTGTATGCATAAAATTGGGAGGGGGGCAAGCAATAATAGGGAAGCTCATTGGGAGTTGGTGTAGGTTTATTACTGTGCGCACCGAAAGAGACTACTTAGTTTAGTCTCCCTACTAAATACATTTGATTTGTCCACTACTCTGGGAATGGACTCTCTACCCACCTTAAGGGTGAAAAGTGGGTAGTAAAGATGTGGAATAAAATAGAAAAACGAACTGTATGTCCCCACAAAAGGCTTAGCTTTGGAATATATCTTTTGCGCAAACAAACAAGCATGACAAATGTTTCTTGCTGCCTGCAGTATGAGAGGTTGCGTTGACCTGTTGTGGGTGTTCCTTCTAAGGCAATGTTGTTGCAGCTTTACCGTCATGGCTTGTAGGCGACTAGGGATTTTAGTTTTGAGAGAGGGGGTGGATCTTCATCCAGTTGAGCAAACGGAGTCTCTGGATATTTGCTTTGCAGCACATGTGCAAGTCTTTTCAGCTGCTGTGTTTCGTGCTTTGTCAAGGAGCACAGTGTTAGAAAAATGGAAAGGAGTACACAAACTAACTAACAGGGGGAAGTAATTTAGTTATTTAGTAATAGTTATTGTACGTGTATCTTGAGATTTTCTGTTTCAGCTTTATACAAGACTGATTCCCCAAGTGTGACAGTTCCTCCGTTAGGGCTCCCTCTCTGTAGCCACTGAGCTATACTTCCCTTCTTATCCTGGAGTGGGTGAGCCTAGGAAAGAGCCAGTTGTGCTGCTGACTAAGGAGCCTGATGAGAACCGTGTCACTTGCAACCCCTGCCGACAACTACTCAGAGCTGGCAGTTTCTGCAGGGAGTCCAAAGTAATCCCCAAGGATTAAAAGGGTGTAAAACATGTGCAAGCACCAACACTGATATCATGGGAGATGATCAAGGAAAGACCCAAATTTTAGTATCACAAACCTTCTGAGCCAAAACTTCAGGCAGCTGGGTTAGGTTTTCTTTAATGTTTTATTAGAAGAAGCCCGCCCTCCCCCCAAAAAAAGCCGAGGAGGGCCCATTAAAAAGACAAAAAGTCCCACAAGGTTACAAGAAGGTTTCAGAATTACTTGGAACAAAGTACAGAGATAGTCTAAACCAAACTTCATACCAGAAAATGACAAAGTCTAAACCCATCTACCTGATACTCAAGTCTTAGTGCAGGGTTAGCGTAGCTCTTAGTTAGGCATGCACAGAATGCATTCTTCCTGGCATCTTGGCTAGCTGGGAGCAAAGCCCCTTGTTCCATGGAGACAAGCCGGCCGAAGCTAACCTGCTTTTCTGAAACCCTTTCATACATCAAATGACCTATTCCAGATCTTCCCACTCCATGTATGAATTTACTTCAATGTTTCCCGGGGCAAAAACACCTTCTTCCCATCTTCTTTCCTACAGCTGTAGTCATCCCTCCATCCGCATGGAAGGAAGTAGAATGGCTGTTGATGACAGGTGCTTGATCCTTCAGTACTGCTCTGATGTCCTGTCAGGCAGGCAGTCAATTGAAGATGCCCTCTTGCTTTTTGTTCTTGGCCAGTACTGACTCTTGTCTTCTCAGCCAGCTTCGAAGGTCCTGACAGAGAAGCCTCCATACAGATTCTATGTCCCATGCTCCCCGAGTTTCTCAATTTCCTTGCACCAACTGTTTGGTGTTTATGCGTGATGTCCAGGAACTGGAAGTAGTTTTTTACCCCTCAACACTGTAGTTGTTTTCCCTTATATTTTCTTTAAGTACTGTATATTTAAGTGAACAGAATATTGTATATTTTCCATTTCTTTTCAAAATGGTAATCTTATCACAACAATGAAAGTATCACATTTAGAATTTGGAATATAATTTATAATGCCCTCTACCAGGTTGCTTTGCGTTAATTAGTGATCTTTCTTCTGTAGTGTGGGCTTTTTCCCCTCTTCCTCTTAGGCATATTTTGCATGCTATTATTCTCCACAAATATACTGCCATCCTCCACTTTTTAGAATGGCAGATGGTTGGGATTTTTTAAAAATGTAGTTGGTACTGTTCCCAAAAATAGAGCTTGAGTGAAATCTTGGCATTGTTCTTGTTGTTTGGGGGGGAAAGCAGATGTTCTTGTTGCTCTTGAAATATTTATGTGTATATACATACTATATTGCAAAAGGAGTGAAGAGTTTTAAGAGTTGAGAGGGAATTTATTTATTATTATTCAGGGGCCGAATTCCAATCTCAAGCATGCAGCTGAAGCAGAGTAGGAAACATCAAAACTAATTTCTTACCTCTGTGGTTATTTTCCCAATACACTTATAAAATTCAATTTTGTACATGTCTGCTAGGAAAAAAACCCAGTCCAACAGCATATCAAGCTGTAGAGGAGAGTTCACTTCCAGGAAACACCTTCTTGAGCTTTAAATACATTTTTGGTTTATATAACCTCCAGCCATTGGCTGAACATAACAGAAGGAGCTCTCTGGGCTGGATGGGGACCCCCCTCATCGTTCCTCATAGCTCGGTTCCCCATTCCTGTTTGAGACAGAGCTGTGCCGCTGTGCAGTGGATGTGAGTAGCACTGTTAATGTGAAGTTTCCCACTTTGTTTTATTAAGACTCACCTTGCTCTTTTGCACTGTGAATGAAATGGAGTACTGTACTTCGTTTGATCCTGGTTTATTGAGTCGAGGACAGTTCATGTCACTTGAAAGGATATTTCATTATAAGGTCATTCTGAAAAAACAGTTGTATGAGCCAATGAAGTTTAAATTTAAAAAAAAATTTAAAAAAAAAGTCTAGTGTATTTCCACATCCTACTAACAGTGTGAATTCTGAGGCAGTGCCTCAGTGCCCTAAAACTTCCTCAAACTAGCTGTCTGTATTGTTGTGCCTCCTCAGATGCCTGGCATGTTAATCTGACCTTGTGGTTTGGCTGTTTTAAAACTGCTGGTGTTGGTAGGGCAGTATAAAAATAATGTTATCAGCCCTGTCTATATTGTCCATCTAACAAGTGTATTCAGACCAAGAGGAAGTGAAACCACTTACCAGGGTCACCTGCCAACGCTCCTCAGACTGAAGAAGCTACTTGGATGAGTAGTGAAACGTTTCAACTTAATAAGGAAGTTGTCCAGTTTCCATGACTCAGCTTCCAGATAACCTCACCTGGATGACTGAGAACCTTCACAGATATATTAATCTTATCTGTGCATGGAAGATCTGCAGCTGATTGGAAATCCTGGAAAATGAGTGTAATGTCGGCCAGAATCTTGTCTAGGATTGCTGCCATAGCAAAACAGCATAATGATTAGAAGTGAATTGCTGTTAACAAATCTCTCTAGACATTTTCTTTGGAATACGGAGTTAGGTGGCTCAGCATGCAACGGATAATATCTTCAGAGATTCCCTAACTGGAGGCAGTTTGCCTCCAAAAGTTACACCAATTGTGTAACAAGGCAAGAGGATTTCAGCCATCGTGTGAAGCATCTCCACATGTAGAAAAGATCGTCACAAGAAGAAGGCAAGGATGGAGGAGGCAAGCAGGCTTCCCTTCTTGCCTGTTTATTTTCATTATTTTTATAGAGTGTCTGAATAGAGCTTATCTATTAACCAGTTATTTCACTTTCAAATTACACTTTGAAAATTGGTGAAAGATTGAAGTTTGACCTTTTGACTGATACAAGAACCAGCCAGCCAGTGTGGTCCTGCTGTAAAAAGTGGGCAGGTCGTCAACAGGAGAACCACACCATTCAGTACTATGAGGATACAGCTTTGCCAAGAACAAACACAGAAAAGCCTCTGATTCTTCCTGAACCAGCTAAGCAGCTGGCTATATGTTAAGCAATAGTGAATACACTTCCAAAACAGAAACACCTAGGGTTTAGTCTGCTGTAGCAAAACCAACATGGTGATACGAAGTCCCAGAACAGTCTCTTCACAGAACTTGTATATATATGCATGTACCCTGCATTAGTTGGTGTCGATTATGAGTTTAGGGGTCCAGACAAAAACTTCCAGTTCCTTAACAAGCATGATGTTCCCAGATTTTTAAAAATGTAATTTGTCATCTTTAGAATTACCCCCCTCCTGCTTTTTGAGGGGGAGTAGAACTGCATGTTGGGTTGTTTGTTTATAATATTTATATTCCTCCCTGAATCCTAGGATCTCAGGGTGAAGTACAATAAACAATATATAATAATTCAATATTTAAAACATATTAAAAGCACTAAAAGTACTTAAAATGTTTTAAAAGACAGTAAACAATCCTCCACAGCCTATTAAAGGCATGATCCTTGTGGGGCAACTGGGGTATATGAAATATGAAATTCAGTTACTGGAAGCTTCTTCTTTGTGGATGCCTGGGATGTTGATTGAACAGGCAGAGTTTAGTCTGCACTCATAACAGGACAGTTAACACCTTAACGTTGCCTCCTGTTAATGAAGACTGCAAAGAAAGGACTGAGAGGGGAACAGATACTGCCATTCTTATCTTTCATCAGAGGGTGTATCAAAACATCCCAAAAAAAGAATCTAATCTTTTCACTTTAACTCTTTGACTTGATAAAGCCAATCCACGTCCTTCCTCCAGGATGCTTTTATTTTGAGGGGATATGAATGGGGAATTAAGATGTTGCTTGTGATAGATATGTAATAGTTCATTTATTTGTATAAAAGGGATTAAGCTAGTTAGATAGTTTAGCTTGCCTCTAAGAAGGGGCTTTTGCTCATCTATTATTCTACAAAGTCATACTGGGAAAGGATGCATTCTGTATATGTCCCAGATCCAAGGTACCTCTCTGTTAAGGTAGAGTATTAGGTAGATTAGCCTTTGTTGGGATTGTGTGTGTGTGCATGCATGTGTGTGTGAGAGAGTTCTTTTGAATTAGCTGAGAGACTGTGTATATCTGTTGCACCTTTTTGTAACATGTCCTTTTCCATATATTTTTCTTTTAATAAAATACAAAACTCCTTTCAAGGAGTTGGATTTTTGGCTAAGGGAGTTAGTGGTACTAAAACCAGGTCTTGCCTTGACCAAACTGCTGGGATTTTGGTGTTTGTGACTGAGTGTGGTGGCAGCTCTCTACTTGCATGGTTAGTGCATGTTCTGAGTGACTAACCTTGTGAATTCCCTGGAGATACTGCCAGAACATAGTAAACTGGAGTGTTTGGGAGTAATATGGACTCCATCAAGCTCCATAGTCTCCCTCTCTAGGTTGCTCTTCCCTGGGCTTACTCACCACAGGACAAGAAGGGCAGTGTGTCAGGGTGGTTATCAAAGGGGAAACAAGACCAGTATCATCACAATCCCCCAAGACCTTGATGAATAATAGTATCACGTTTTAACTTGATACTGAAGTGAGATTAGTGCTGACACCCCTCTAAGGGAAGGGCATTTCATAAGAGAGGTGCTACAGCCCAGAAAGCCCTTTCCGACATGTCTCTAGGTAGTGGATTTTTCTCCACATTAAGACATGGAGGAGCTGTTTCCCAACAAATCATAATGATTGGACAGGTATCTATAAGGAGAGGCATTCCCCAAACTATCCTGCCCCAAAGTATCCTGATCCCATGATGTTCAGAGCTATATAGATTGTCATCAATACCTTGAACTTGGATCAGGAACCAGTGCAATTCTTTTAGAACCGGTGATATATGGATTTTGGAAAGGTGTTCTCACTAGTACTCTGGCTGCCACATTTTGCATTCACTGCAGCATCTGTCATCTTCAGGGGCTGCCCTACATAAAGTACATTACACAATATTGCCACTATATGAACTTCTGTAGCCAGGTTGTCCTTATCCAGGAATTGTTGCAGGTGGTGGGCCAATCAGTGATGGCGCCCAGGCACTCTGAGCTTCTGTGCTCACCTGTACCTTAAGTGAAAAAGATGGCTCAGTGGGTACCTCCAAGCTATGTATATGGTAGCCTTATACTCGCATGGCTCAAAATGTGTGCAGATGGTGCTCTCATACTGGGGCTGACCAAACTTTATATTTAGATACATGTTCTTTTTCGTGTTGCTATAGTGAAACCTGTAAATTTCAAAAATTTAGTAACTTTGTTTCATCTACAAGTTTTCTAATGTTGTGTGCTTATGTTTGTTAAAAAGTAAATGAACTTGCGTACTCTTAATTTTTGCTGACTCTGATTTCTCTCTGCATTTAGAGATCAGTAGTAGAATTTCCATCTCTAATGCTATCAGTCTCCCTCTCTGAGAGTAGCTGGTCTTCTGTAGATTATTGAACTGCTGGAAAAACCCAGTGGTTGAGGCACCTGGCTGCAGAGCCAGAGGTTAGCAAATTGATTCCCCACTGGGCCTCCTTGACAATAGGGTCCCTTCCAGCTCTGCAGTTCTAAGATGATGTTGATGATGATCATGACTATAAAATGACTGGTAGGGAAGGACTGTGCCATTTCTCTATTCTGTCCTGAGTTTATCATCTGGGTTGGTGCAAAAATATCTGCACTTGATGGTAATAAGAACGTTTGCCATGTGCATAACAATGTGCTGTTTTTAATTTCAGCCTGAAAAGATGATGGCCAAGCAGATGGAGTTTCTTTGCACTCAAGCTGGTCTGGAGAGACGCCTTTCTGCAGGGCTTTACAGACAAAGCTCAGAAGAACACAGTCCCAATGGCTTGACATCAGATCTTACTGATGGGCAAGGTACAGTAGTTTCCATGTATTTGCCGTCCCACATCTCTTTTGCAGCTCTTTTATTATTTGTGATGTCCGTACAGTAGTGATCCTCACTAAATTGTAGCATGGTGCTGTTTTGATGTGGGTAAAGTTTATTACATAGAGCATCAAAGAAAAAACAACAACAACCCACACACAGGTGTATTGCAGAAAGGAAGGCATAAAAAGAGCCCTGCTAGATTCGACAGAAGGATTACCTGATTCACCACTGTATTCACACAGTGGCCAGTGAATTACGCATAAGACGTTGGCCATGCATTAGCTATTTAGAAGTTGGATTTGTCCAACTAAGAGAGAGTCTAGCTTGAAATAGACTTCAGTAGCTTCTCTGTGGGATCCACAGAAAAGGAACCTGTTTTGATCAGGTCCCCTTTGCCTCCCCCTCCCGCTTCTTTTCTCTCTCACACAGACCCAGCTGCCTTCTCTTATGCCTTCCCTTTCTGTCTCTCACACAAACATCCTCCCGGGTGGGTTTTTTTTGGCTCCATACCATGCCAATGAGGCTGTTGGATGAAGTAGGGCAGAATCAGTCAGTCAAGTCAGATGGGTGGAGGCCTCCTACCGTGACTTCAGTAACATTGTGTGTGACTGAGAAGGGGCACGGTGGCTTCTGTACCTTTGAGCTACTGTTGTTGACAGTGGCCCTGCTTCTTTTTTTTCATGGTGCCAATGTTGGCCGCACTGAATGAATCTCTTGGTGGCCATGTCTTTTAGGTGAAAGGCCTTTAAATCTCCGCATGTCAGGTCTACCAAATAGGCACATGCCTCACATTTCATTAGAAGGGGAGCCTCATGGAGTGAAGCCGCTGTGCGGTGACTTGAGCCGGCTCTATGCCAGTGGTGAGGCCAAGTCACAACCTTCAGGTAAGGAATTTGTTTTCTTGACTTAATAAGTCATACTGTGAGCCTTCTGGCGTAGATAAGACCATGGAATGAAGCTCTCTCTTGTCTTTATGTTTGTGCGTTCAATCTACGGCCTACAAGATTATGTTACTGCCATTGAAAACCACTTCAGCATGCTCAGTGTCCATATTGCGACAGAAATATACACAAGTGCTACTGCTGTGGTTGCAGAAAAGCATCTTAATTCCTTACATCTGAGATTTTTTGTGTTGACCAGTTCCAGACAAACATATTTTATATTTGAGTACCTATAAATACCTTAGTTCATGGCATGTTCATTGAAATAACATCATCAAGTGGCTCCATATGTATGTTTTAATCTACACAAATTGCTCAGCAGTAGATGCAGATAGATTTTCATTTCTTCCCCCAAAGACACACACACACACACAAAAAGAACAAACCACATCTGCAACAATCCCTAAAACTGTTTTGAAGTGTTAGGCTTGTTCTGTTGTAGACCCGTTGTAGCTTATGGCAAAGTGATAAAATAGCCTTTAACTACATGGCTAATGCAGCCCACTGATGATTCATAGCGGGAAGGAAAAAAAGCTGGTGATATATTCAGGTCTCTCTGTGTGTTTGTGTGTGTATTTGTATGTATGTGCTGGGATGAAAATCAACAAGTGCACTATCAGGCTTCTGCTTGTCTGATTGGACCTATTTGTACCAAGTGAGACAACCCTTTTAATCACTTTTAAAAGGTTCGGTCAAGATTTTGGGTGCTAATGGTATTCAGAACAAGGACTTGTGGGCTGGGAAATTCTGGCTTGTGGAAATGCAAACTTCTTGTTACTAACAATGTGCCATGGCCCTTGTATGACTGCAGAGTAGCAATGGGCACGAACTGCTGGTTTGTGCTGGTTTGTTTAGTGTCCAAACAGGTGTTCAGTGCTTTAAAGTCCTTCCTCTGCTGGTGTGTAACCACTCGGAGGCAGTGGCTTGGCTTCCCTGCCCCACATCCTCCTGACGCTGCCTCTGAGTTGGTGCCTGCCAGTGGAGGTGTGGCTTTGAAATGCCAAACACCTGTTTATATGCTAAGTGAACCTGCACAGACCTCCGAACTGGCGGTTCATGCCCATCTCTACTGCATAGTTACATACAACTTAAACTGTTTCAGTGTGGCCCTCTCTATTAATGCATGGTCCGTGTTGAACAACAGCAGAACTACTTAGAAACTTTCCTTTCTTAAACTACAACTCCCAGAATCCCCTAGCTAGCAGATTCTGGAAATTGTCAACCAAAAATAAGTAGCGTTTCTGCTTTCTGATCCAGCTATCTGCCATGCTTCCTATATAATATCCCTAGGGTGGTGGTAATTGCGAGGAATGTGCTGCACTTAACTACCACACATGTTCATATGTGTTAGGATGTCATACCCAGTTGATAGACAACAACTGATATTCTAAAAGACAGTCTCCTCTTGGCTCAGTGTTTTTATAAAAATAATGCTTTGTTGTTGTTGTTTCAGAAGGCCTTGGTATGTTGAAAGATTTTCCTCACTCAGCTTTCAGCAGCCTTGAGAGAAAGGTCATAAAGACAGAACCAGAAGATACAAGATAGCCATGCTGCTTTTGAAGTTTATTGAAGAAAAAAGCTTCAAACAAGAAACCAGCCTTAATAACCAGTGTTGCCTCATTGAAATAAGTGATTTCATAGCCAAAGCCTAAGAACAGGGACGGTTATCCCGAAAACTGACACAAAAAGCCAACCAGCCCTTTTGGACAGTGAAACTGCCATGACAAGTGGGTGCAAACATTATGAACATGAGGTGGGAAAGGCTCACAAACTAATATTGTGAGCCCTTGTTATTTAAGAATGTATTATGTATTTGTATAACTTAAAAGTAAAAACCTAGGTGTCAGAATGTGTATTAAACTCAGTAGATGTGGCTGCCATTATTTTTACTTGAAATTTTAATGTCTACTTTACTTGTAGATATGATAGATATTAGTCTGGCTTTTTTAAAAAAACAACTTTGTTTGGGGGACGGGGGCAGGATGGTGAAGGCGGGAGGAGCCATGTATAACACACTTTAATAGCAGGTTTGCAATGTTTATTTTTAAAAGCAAAAAAAGCAATTACATAAAAAGTTACAGGGATATAGCATTTGGAAGAGCTGATTGTATTATAACACACATTTTTATTCTTATTGGTGTTGTCTCATTCTCAAAGACTTCAAGAACACGTATCTGTAATGTATTTATTTACGTTTTATTCCTATCTGCTGTTTAGAGACTGATGGGAAGAGGAAGAAACATATTATTGTTTCATAAGAAATACTCTATAGACAGGGAGGGGAAAATCTCTCCCGTCACAAAGGAATTTAATTCTCTAGGCATTTTGATTAAGGCTGCCAGAGGAACTGCTGAACAACTGGCAAAGCTTATGGAACTTTTCTTCTCAGTTTTTAAGTCAGAGGGCTTCAGATATCAGAAGAGATTGGAAAAGTAGTGTGAGAAATTTACATGCTCTAAAACAGCCAATAAAATGATATGGAAAAGAGAAATGGGAAGATGGAGATGCTACTGGTAGACAAATAGTTCATAGCAGCTTTATAGTCTACTTGACTTTACACTTATATTGGTACATTTCTTTTTTATTTGTATGAACAAGTGTACCCTTTATTTATTTTATGGTATGTGTGTGGGTATGTATGGTGTGTATCTGTATGTGGATGAGCTATTCTTAAGATCGCCCCATTTTGTCAATAATGTAATGGTTCATTTGTAAGAGACATCTTGGTATTTACCTCTGGGATATTTTCAATATTGTGTCTCCACGTGATGCAATGCACACTATCATGATGACATGGGTTTACAGAACAGCCTTCTTTCCTCAGTATGACTAACAGGGTCTGATCACCTTAATTCAGTCTTCCCAGCCCAGTGCCTTCCAGGTGTATTGGACTACATTTCCCATCTGTGTAGTCTGGGGATAGCAGGAGTTGTGGTTCAACACACTGAGAGGTGCCCTGGCTGGGGAGGGCTGCTTTTTAAAAAATAATGCTTAATTTGCCTAAAGTAACGGGAGAGGAAAAGGTAATGAAAATGCCACAAGTTCTTATGTTTTCACTATACAGTATTGCTCTTCATAGCTGAAGATTTTGCTCTGTGTACCAGTGAGTCATTCTGTATGCCATATTGAAGCTATCAGTGTATCGTGAGGTGACATCTTCACACAGCAGTCCTAGATCATAGTGGGACATGTTTAATAATTATCACTTGTCTTGTTGCAACAAAGCGTGATGCTAGAAAACACCACTCCACATGTTTCTAATATGAGCAAAAAGCCTTTTTTTAAAAAAATAAAAGAGCAGCAAAGTCTTGTTTCTTGAATTATATAGTATCATTTGATTGAGTAACCATTGAATATATTCCAAGAAGCTGTATTCAAAGGAGCCTGCAGCTTAGTGGATCAAAATGAAAGTGATGTATGTGTAGCTTAAAGTAGATCATTTCTTCTTGTTTTGTGAACTAATAACACAAATATGTGTTTCCTTGTTTCCGAAGATGCACATAACACTACTTGCTATATAAGCAGTTTCACAAACAAGGACGGTAAATCCAGGCACAGAAAGCTCACTTCACTCCTAGTAGCAGAGAGCATCTTGTTTTGTAAAGGCCAATGTAATGTAGTGTACATTTTAAATCTGTAGTATATCTTTTTTTTTTTAATTTTAATTTTGAATGACTTGACCAAGTTGGGTTTTTTTAGTATTTGAGGTACTTAGCTCCCCCCCCCCGCCGCCGCCACCCACAGTCCAGCAAACCATTTCAGACCTAATAGGCTTCTTCTTTCATTTTTAACCGTTCTTCGGTTGCAGGAGGTTTATACACCTTTTTTAATTTCTATCAAAATAAGCCTGAACCAGCTAAATCTACCAGGAATTTTTAACCTGGCATGGAGTGCATTGTGAAGTATTTTCTGAAGTGATGGGAATTCTGGTGTATTAAAATTTAGTAGTAGGGTTAAGGTGAGTTTAAGGTGCACATTTGTAAATCTTGAACCTAATGAGAATTCCATTGTCACCCTGAGCAGGGCCAACCAATTGACAATGGGGGCATGCTTTTTCTGCTTCTTGGCATCATGGTTTGCTGAAAAACAGCACGGGACACTGCAGGATAATGGCTAAAATCCAGCTCTGTAACTTAAATTACCATGTAAAGCAGATGAAATCATCTGGGGTTTTTTTTAGAAATTAAAAGTTCTAACCAACCCCTCCCAAAGACTCTTAAGACTTCCTTGGGATCTCTTCAGTTGTGCAGAAGCCATTAGAGCTGTGGAATAAGTGGGGGGGTAGGTTTTGTTTTTTTGCAGAAAATCAGTGAAATCACCTATTGATGGTGGGGTTTTTTGTCCTTCAGCCCTCAACATCTTCAGGGATTGGAAATGTTTAACTTCTGAAAAACTGTTGTAGGTGATGACCTCATCGGCTGATATCACAGGATAACTACATAAACAAGATTTCCGCCAACACGTTTTGTTGACTGGGATAAAAAAGTACCTCAGTGGCAAAAGGCAATAAATTTATTGAGATAGTTTTTGCTTGAACAGGTTTTGTGTGTGTGTGTGTGTATGTGTGTGTTATTTTGAAGGGGGTGGGGGTGGGGAAGGACACTCACTCTCAGTAGCTATACCTTGGGGACAGTAACAACACTACAGACTTGTAGGTTTGTTTGGTTATGAGCAGATTCTGTGACAATATGTAACTCTGGGAGACTAAATATTTAAACCTGGAGAATGAGGGTTTCATCTCTTACCTATTAGTTGTATGTTACTGTTGAAAATAATAGCTGTTTCAGTGTCGTCCACCTGAGTAGACCCCTCCCTCAGAGAAGAATGTGATGAAGGATGCTGTGACAATCCCATCCCTCGAAATCTCCCCCCCCCCCCCTGTGTTAAGCTCATATCTCAGGAAGAAGTCTCTTCTCATCTTGTAGACTGAGTGTCTTCCCAAAAGATTTACCTTTACACATGCTGGGAGACTTATTTGGGGTACACTTAACCACCAGCCCTTTATCTGCCCTACCATGTGCAGCCAAGTGTGTTGGGCTTAAGGACACTTGGAATTCCTGAATTCTTTTTGAATACCTGAACAGGCTCCCCTCCCCCCCCAAAAAAAACCACCCACAACTTTTCAAAGACACAAATTTTGCTTACTTTTCAATCTTAGTACATAATTTTCTTTTAAAATGCTAATAATTAAGACTTTGTTGTCAATAAACTGCAAGTGCTGCTGTTCTAGCCCTTCATTTGTTTTGTTTTGTTTTTGGAGGGTGGCGGTGGTGGTAATAAGGGAGCTTGAGCACTTAGCTGCAGCAGGATTTTTTTTTGACCAAAGTGTGATCAGTGTTTGTCTGCCTTTGTATTCTCGTTTGTCTGCATTTGTGTGCCTTGTTGGTTATAAAATAAAAATCAGACTGTCAAAGATTTTTTCTTTCTTTCTCATTTGCCTTTAAATCATTTTTTTTTTTTTTGAAATGAAGAAGAAGGGTACCGGCTCTGTCACAGGTGTCAAAAAATGGCCCACTTTTTTCCCAGTGAGCTGTCCTGCTTTGCATGCCCTTTATGGCAATTGCTGAGATCTGGAACTGAAATGGAAAACCAAGCCATTCACTAGTAATGGGCTTTTAAGTTACAATCATATTTCTCTCAACATATCATACGAACTCCAATAAGACTGGGAGGAAAACTTTTGCAATGAACTTCAAGGTGGGAAAAGTACAGTATATGTCTTCTAAAGGAGACATAACTAACTTCATTTGTGTTCATCAAAGCCCTAGAAAATGGGATTGCCATTTTTTTACTGCATTCATGATTTCTATGCTTGCTTAAATGATTCTCAATTATTCTTCCAACCCACACAACAACTGACACGCCCCCACTGATAGCGTACAGAAAACCAGTGGCCTCAATCCAGTGGAAGGTAGACAGATTAAAATCGGGTAAGTTCTGAAGTGCTTATGCAAATATAATGTGTCTGCATGTGTAACAAGACACTGAAGCCAGTTCTTAATGGAAAGCACCCTTGGGAGAAGTGGGGTGGGTGGGTTTGAGAGTGTACTTAACCCTTTCCCTGCCTGATAAACTATTGGCCTTCTGATGGGACGTGGTGGCGCTGCAGGTTAAACCGCCTCTGTGCTGCAGGGTCAGAAGGCCAGCAGTTGTAAGATCAAATCCACGCAATGGAGTGAGCTCCCGTCGCTTGTCCCGGCTCCTTGCCAACCTAGCAGTTCAAAAGCATGTAAAAATGCGAGTAGATAAATAGGTACCACCTCGGTGGGAAGGTAACGGCGTTCCATATCTAGTCGTGCTGGCCACGTGACCACGGAAACTGTCTTCGGACAAAATGCTCGCTCTATGTCTTGGAAACGGAGATGAGCACCGCACCCTAGAGTTGGACATGACTGAATGTCAAGGGCCACCTTTACCTTTACCTATTGGCCTTCTGCCACAAACACAATTACATTCTTAATTGTAATTACCTCATTTTGATTGTGCTGTCATGTGGTCTTATATGTACTGTATAATGTATCAATAAAGAGTTCATTAAAATCCAGGATGCTGGGACTTGTGAAAACAGCTGTCTCCTTAAGAACCTGAACAGATACTGTATTAGGAACTTGGTTTCAGGCTTTGTAAAATAGCTCACTTAAGACAGATCAATTCAGAACCCGTCTGCATTGATTGGGGTCCTGAGTGTGAGTCAAGACTTCAGACACTTAGAGGTTTGTGCTTCCCATTGACTATCAATAGAACGCTAAAAATAGCTAGCTTTTTTTTTTGTCTCTGTGAGAACTGAATGAAATCTGCTGTCAGTTAGCCCTGGGTGGGTAGGTGGGTGGCTATATGTGAGATGCCTGCCAAATTGGAGACAAATAGGTTCACAGTGTGTAGGTGCATGGTTTCAATGCCTTAAAAAAATTAGAATTGCCAGTAACACCTCCCTTGTTAATTTTCTTGCTTACTTACTGGCAGAAATGGAGAATTGCCTCTTTTGAATGAAACAAAGCAAGGAAGCCTTTCTTTTTGGAATCTTTAAAAAAGGGGGGGGTGCATCTTCCCTTAGGTTCCTGAAAATGGCCGACAACAGAGACATGGGTTAAAGTGACAGATCTGACTTACTTCAGAAACAAATGCAGCAGCATATGTGGAAGAGCACAGGAATAGTCCAAAGTGGCTTGATTTGGCTTGGGCTTTATCCAGCTGGATACATGCAAACACAGAATGTTGAGGGCTTGAGACATGATGCTTTCTCAGTAATAATACAAGTAGTAGTACAGTATGTTCAACAAACGGCTCTATGTAGGCACATAGATGCATACACACAATGCACATGTCTCTACAATTTCTTCATATCTGTATTGGGGGGATCTGACTTCCCAACATTTTGAAGCCGCATGGGCAAATTGGGTGGTCCAGGCCTATTCATCTGGCCCTAAGGGCCCCGAGGAGCCAGCCCCACCCCTCTAGACGCAACGAGAAATGAATGATGGCTCACTCCCAGGGGGTTGGACATGTGATCTCCAGCATGGGATAATAATATGAGCTAGGGAAACAGGTTATGTACACAATTTTAAATTGAAAAGGCTTTTATTTCTCCTTTTAAAATTTAATTCCATACCACTGATAAACAATCCATTTCTTAGGAATGCAGTAAAAAATTTTTTAGAAAGATTAGCAAAATAAATTGTTTTCTGCTCCTTCTCCATTTCCCCTCCCCTTCTTCAGCCATCTCTTACTTCATGATGTTGACAAATGGCTTCAATTTAAATCGTGGAAAGATTTGTATAATAGTTCTGGCCCCAAACCAGAGAAGCAATTATTAAATCAAGCAAGTACTATCCCTCACCCTCCTGGTTTCAAATATTTCAGGTTGTTAATTTTTCTTCCCTGTCAGTAGTGAAAGTGTAGACCACTAGACAATTAATTGCATTTTGAAACATTGCTAACTAGCCTCAGAAAATATCCAGCAGGGGCTGGCTTCAAAATTATATGAAACAGTAAATGAATCCCACCATGGCTGTGAAGTAGGGCTCAAAATAGTTTGGGGAAGTGATTTGGGGGTGTGTGTGACCATATCTGATGGAAAATGGCAGGCTCTATGGAACAAGACTCTACAGGATCACTCTCCAAATTTAAGGAGACTTATATTAAGCTTCTGTGTCAATGGAATTTTACACCACTCTTAAGTTCCATCAATAAATCCATGCTGTTGGAGGAAATGTAGGAATATTGGTACATACTTTCATATGTGGTGGACATGCCCTCCAATCCAGTTGTTCTGGGTCACAGTTTTTACAGATACAGTGGACCCTTGACTTACAGACGGCTTGACTTACAGACTTTTTGAGTTACAGACTTCTCTGGCCGCAAAATGTAGGTTTGACTTCCAGACTGAGATTTGACTTACAGACCAGAAAAAAACCAAAATGGAACAAAAACGGCCTGTTACAGGATTAATCGGTTTTCAATGCACTGTAGGTCAATGGAGACTTGACTTACAGACTTTTTGACTTGAGAACCGCCTTCCAATACGGATTAAGTTCTCACCACAGTTTTTCCAGAAACAGAATCAAATCACAGGGCAAAAGTTTATAAAGTCACTAAATCTAACTTTTCTATCCTTATGTTTAGACAATAATAAACAGCTATTTTATAAACAGTTGATTATCTTTTTCTGTATGGCAGCATGTCTGGAAAGTTACAGGAAGCTAGATTTTGGTTGAATATCAGGAAAAACTTCCTAACTGTTAGAGCAGTACAGCAATTGAATCAATTACCTCAGGAGGTGGTGACTTCCAACACTGGAGGCATTCAAGAGAAATTTAGACAACCTTCTGTCAGATATCCTTTAATTTGTATTCCTGCACTGAGCAGAGTTGGACTCGATGGCCTTATAGGGCTCTTCTGTGATTCTATGAAATTGCCACAAATTATAAGGGAACTTGTAATTTATATTTACATGCACGGAGAAACAGAATATGGGATGTTGCCGTAATGGAAAAATTAACACACCAATTCAAATTACTTAATCAACCTCATTTCCAACACATGCTGACATTTTCAACACATGGTTTCCCTTTTTAAAAAAAATGTTAATAAGAATAAGACTTGTTTTCCACTAGCCTCTGACGTCAATCTTTGGTGCAATCTTCTAGTGTGATATAGATATAGTGCGTATAGACTTGCACTGTTATTTTATTGTTGTTTCCATTTTCATTCAATAAAGTTTTTTTAAAAAAAACTATTCACACATCACATCCACAAGGCAATGAAAATGAAAGCTGTCATTTAAAACAACAACAACAAACAATTCTGTAGTAATTTCAAAGGCCTGTTTGGAATACATGTCCACCCTCCACATCCCTGCAAATTTCTTTTTCAGCTGTCTTGAGACAAACTGAATTAGGATGTGCATCATATTTACACATTTTGAAACCCACAGTGAGTCATTTATGTGCCATTAAAAGTTTACACTTCATACATTTTGAGTTCATCTGTTTCTAAAGTGCTGTGTTCCACACCCACGGGATCCTGGGAAGGCAGGCCTGTTCTTGTTTTACTTTTTGCATTCGCTGACTGATAGGGTCGCTCAGAAACAAGTGCGTAGGACGAGGCTGAGTGGTGTGAGTGTAGGTGGAATCTCATTGCTCCCCACAGTCGTCTTGGATGGACATTTGTGAAGTACACAACTGGCTGCTAAATGCAGTGAAGGTCTGGCAATTAAGCTGTAGGGGTTTATTTTATTTTTCATGAGTGGAAAAACACAGACCTCTCATTAAGAGAATTACTAAAACAGAATCTTCTTGAACATTGATTTGCATACCCAGTTCTGTTGACTGCTCAATTTGTTGTTGTTTAGTCACGAAGAGTCGTGTCCGACTCTTCGTGACCCCATGGACCAGAGCGCGCCAGGCCCTCCTCTCTTCTAACTGCTCAATATATGTGTTAAATAATAAAACTTTTGTTGTCTCATAGCCTCAGCACAACTGGAGCTAGATATGGGGTAGCCCTACTATTGGGCTCCAACTACTGATGATAAGGAAGGTAAAATAGAAAGTTTTTATGCAAGCATCTAGGAGGAAACTGAGCAAACACCAAAACAAG